GATGTTATCAATGCAATGTTGAAACATTTAGATCTTATAGTTAATGTTGAACTAGAAATTTAGCTTTTCATTTAATAACTAGCTTCCAATCCAATGATTAATGTTAATCTTCTATATATATTATTTATATATAGAAGAATTATTTGGTATGTATTTTACTTGTATTAAGAAAACTATGTGTGTTAGTCATAGATGGATAAATCATAATGAATGTCATCATAACCCCATTGATCACTATAGCCAATCACAAAATTCAAACACATCTTGATGTGATCCATTGTGATTAAAAAATACTTATATTTTGAACTTTAATAATAAGATATACACCACAACATCTCATAAAATCAAATTGAATTTATAGCCATCGCCGTCTTCAAGTAAAAGTACTATGATTTGTCTAATTATCATAAAAAATCATATTCAAATAGTAAAAACAACTCTAAATATCTTATACACTTTCCTAAGATGTTGTAAATGGTATATTTTAATCAGACTAAAAATAGATGGCATCAAAACAAGCAATAAAAAAAAACTATTATAAATAGTTTAAGAATTGTGTTCACTAACATCATAAAATTAATGATAAGTGAATTCAAAATTTCAAATGAAAATACTAACCATTCCTATTGTTTGTTGAGGGTATGAAAAGAACTTTCCCTTCTAACTATTAATCAAATCCCAACATGTTGATAACCACTTTCTAAATTAATTTTTAAAAAAATTAGCTCTAAGGTCAAATTCAGCATATCATCTAACCAAAAGAATTAAAATATATTCTTGGTAATATTTTTATTAATGAGTTGATTGTCAATACACACTCACTATGTACAATCTTTCTTTATGATTAATAGAACTAAAATTATATAAGGATTATGTATTTCTTGAATAAATTTTTTCATGACTTTAGATCTTAGTAGGCTCAATAAGATTCATCATATAATAATAAAAATAAAAAAAATTAAACCTAAGACTAAGTCAATAACATGTTTAGTATATCTATTAGATAACAATTAATTAAGTCTTTTTTCGGATGCAACATCATTAAAAAAAAATAGAGGAGAAAACACAGAGGGTAAGTGGGTCTCATTAAAAGAAAGTATCACTTTCTTAAAATGTGACATGTGTAAAGAGTATAGATCTAAAAATTCATCCTTAATAGTTTCAAATTTTGACAATGTTTATGTTGATGCTATGGAAACAAGTAAAATAGATAATGCAATTTTTAGTCATTTTTTTTCTACTATTGAAATCAAACCTTGCCCTTCCAAAGTTCAATAAATCAAAATAATCCCTCACATAAGAGTGTAATTAAAGCATATTTTCTTCACAAATTAACAACTTTCTTTATTAGATTTTTTATAGACTTTAGTATTTTCATTATCCTATCATTAAATTTCTTAAACTTTATGATTTTTCTTAACACTTACACATAAAAGAACAATTAAATTAAGGTTATGAGTACCTCTGAGAATATCTTTAAGCAGTATAATTGGTTTGAAATTATTATAGTAACATGTGATTCCTCTATTGTTAGAATTAGAGATTTTTATTAGAAATTACAACATCACCTTTAAAAAAGAAATTGAATGAAAACTTGTAGTGATACCTGATGAATGATAAATAGTTTATACTATTATCCAATCTTTGAGATAATGATGATATGGTCATATGTATAGAAAGTTTATATTTAAGTCAGATTATCATGCTCTAGATTTGATTAATACCAAATGAAATTTAAACCATTTGATATCAAATTAGTCAATTTTCTTAGAATTATCGTCCTTAAACCTAAACCAACAATTAAAAATAAACTAGTTGATAACTATCATGGATACAATTATTCATCTCTTCTTTAAAACTTAATTTCTTAAGATTTGATAAACTAAAGATGAGTGCTCTATTTGCATGACTCATCTTTTTATCTTGAATATTGATAAGATTTTGACCACATAAAGAATATTATAAATAATCAATAAATACTTTCATCAAGGTGAAAAATTTTATAATCATAAATTTTTTTGAGAGAATTTTTAATTTATGAAGTTTATTTAAAAAAAAATGTTTGATTATGTAGATAGGATAAAACCATTTGTTAATGGAAAATAAATTCCTCGGTCGTTCACTAAAGTGAAAAATTCTATTTCACTAAAGTGAAAAATTCTATAGTTTGTTGTGTAATCCTTTACTTACAAATAAGCAAGAGCCACCGAATAAAGAGTTAGTCATTATATTTCCTTACCCATTCTCTATAGTCTATGAAAAGGAATCTCAATGAATTTTACTTGGAATTTGCCATCCTAGTTTATTGAAATGATGATATTTTCATGGTAGTTGACTTTCTCAAAGATTGCTCACTTTATGTCTAGCTCAAAAACCGATTACCCTTTCACACTATTAATTTATTAAGAAAATTATGCATCTATATGGCCTTACTTTGACCATTATATATAATTACAAAGTTAGATTTATCTTCTAATTTAGATATTTTTAGCACCAAATAAATTTTTTCTCAAATTTTGATCCTTACAATGATGGGCATTAAGATTTTTAAGCAAAACATTTGGAAATCTTTTGAGGTTTCTTGCAAAAAATAAATAAATAAATAAACAAAAAGAAAGGTCTACCAATAAAGTTGCATATAATAGCATTATATATAAAATAACTAAGACCTCATATTTTGAAATTATTTATAGCTAGAACCAAAGAAAACCGTTGCATTAAACCATAAATAAAAATCAAAGAAAATCGTTGCATTAAACCAACCAAAATGAATATTTGTACATAAAATAATGTTTGTTCAAATTAATTGTTCAAAATAAAAAAATAAGAAAAAAGATATGTTCATACTCCTCATTTGTCCTCTCATCATCATTCTCGTCAGACTCATCCTCTCTAGCCTCTCTCCTCTCTAACATGCATGGCACAGTATCACATAAAAGTCTGCCTTCATCTTCAACTTCATCTCCAATCTTCTTTGGGCTAATTGGATGGAGACCTGGGCAGCAACTCTGACCTCAATATCATAAGTAAGCGTGGCAACCTGCCTACGAAGCTCCTCCTCTTGGGCAGTAGAAATCGATGCACTAGATGAACTAGAGGTACAAGTGTCGGAGGTCGTCTTATGAGACCCTAAGTCGTAGTCCCGACTCTTTTTTCTTCATTTCTACCATGCATGGCACAGTATATCATCGAAATATGCCATCATCTTCAACTCCATCTTGAATGTTATTTGGGCTAGCTTGGTGGGGACTTGGGCAGCAACCTCAACAGCAACTTTGGCCTCAATATCATAAGTAAGCATGGAAACCTGCCTACGAAGCTCCTCCTCCTGAGCAGTAGAAATCGATGCACCTGATGAACTAAAGGTACGGGCATCATAGGCAGATGCCTGAGACCCTAAGCAGCCGACCTGACTCTTTTTTTTCCTCCAGTACCCTCCCTCTACAGGCTGTTGATGGATGGATCATGATTTGTGATTGTAATACCACCCAACTCTTGGGATTGCTCTCCTTCATCCTTTGAATGGTCTCCTACAAAAATATAAGATTAATGAAATTTAGATGTTATAAAAAATTTAATACTTATTTGAATTGTATACTAATTAATCTTGTGAATTACTTGGGTCGCCTGATATCTACTGTCCATTCAACTCTAGTCTGACTGCTGCTTATGAGTGCGCGCATGTAACGTGCCAGTGGATGGGTCTCGTCTCAGCACTATAAACCTTCAAAGCAATGTTGCAGTTAGAATATATTTAACCTACAATAAAATTAAATGTAAAGATTAAGTCTTACAAGTATCTTCTTATGTTGTATATGTGGCATCGCCCTAACAATGTGCTTAGAGGCCCTCATGCCTCCACAGTTAGAGCGAAAATTTTGTTTAGTCAGCTCCCTCTTCTTTTGATATTCAAGAGATTACTAGAAACTAAGCTACGAGACAAACACAACCTCGCCAATCCATAAGGGGCGCTAACTCGTCTTTCATATGTTGTCAAACATATCACGAAGATTGTAGCTCCCCTTCCACTTGAAGTATCTTTGGATGTGAGCCTCCTCCTCAGGTGGCCAAGACTATGTTTTTTGCAAATTGAAATTAAACAGTTAAATTGATAAATAAAAATATAAAAATGAAGATAAATGTGTTCGGTATATACCTTGAACTGCTAAAGCCACGTATCTCGAACTGGGAATCAGGACCTCCTTCCATGATAAGTATGGATGGTCAAACTTGCTCCGAATAATGTCTCGAATCGAATGGATGGCCTCTGTGGGGGAGAAAAACTAGAAACGATATATCATTAGTAATCTATTAAATTCAAAAAAAAAGATAATGTCAGTATCTAAATAAAGATCGACCTTCATCGCATCCATCCTCCATGACAGGGAGGTGCTGACTGCGACAGCTGTTTCGTAGCAGTGACCACTTAATGCATGGATTTAATTAAATCCAGACAAACACTAAAGAATAAGAATATTTAATCCAACATCCCGTCTCTTCTCCGACGTCACTCTCATCTCTTCTCCAACGTAAATCAAAATTTACTAAATCCAATCGCGGGAAGGATTTAAGAATTTACTCCATTATCACTCTCTTCATTGCTCTCACCCGTCACTCTCATAAATATGGGTTTACTGGATTTCATAAATCTTATTTAACATAAATCTAACCTGCAACCTAACATCGCCTTAGTAGAATGAAGGCTTGTTGTTGTTGTAAATATTAAATATGTAAATTTATAAGAATTGAGTGTTATGTCTATAAAAATTAAATTTTTAATGTGAGATATGCAAAGAGATAAGCATTGTGAGCTATATACATAAGTTTCTTTTAAAAACCCAGTCAATAGAGAAATACTTAATGTTGAAGCCCTAATGCGAAAAAACTAACAGCTCAAATTACATAATAACTTGGAGGAATGATTGAATTGAGAGTGTCTTCGATTTGACTATAAGAACTAACAAAATGGTGCACTGTAGGCAAAGTTAGATCAGTGGAGAATGCGTGGGTTTCAGAGCATGAGGGGGGCGCGGGAGAAAGAAATGAGAAAATTCGACGGTCAATTCGATATAATAAGGCTATCTGATGGCTTCCCTACAGTAAAGAAGCCATTGCTTATTAATAACTCAATAACCGGGTTGAACCCAAAGTGAAGTATCAATGTGGGACCTATTACTAGAGCCCAATCCAAAAAAGATGTTTCACATTTAGTAGTTATGATTACCATATGCCAAGCCAAATGAAAAGCATGAAGATTAACTTAGATTTAAATATTTAATTATGACTTTGTGACTTTATTTCATATAAGTGTTGACAATAAGTTAACATTCTTGCTCAAGTGTCATGTTTCATGCTTAAATGGTGGTGAAAGTATATAAATGGAGGGGAGATCCAAATAAGGAAGTAAGAGTGGCATTATGTTGATGAAGTCAAAAATCGACTCTTACTTCTCCCACCTTTAAATGCTTATTTTTTATGTGTATTTTGGTGAAGAAATGATTTGTATAAGACTCATAGTATCTTAAGTTAAAGGAGATGATGTTTTGTGAAAAATTGGAGTTATTGCAAGGTGATTAAAGGAAGCTTGGTGGTCGGCCTTTATAAGGGTTTAGGTGAACTATTGTCTTCACATTCTTGCAACCTTTCTTATAAACTTGGTGTTGTTATTATGAATCCATGTATCTATTGTATTTTCAAATAAAAATCTAATAAATTTCTTTCTTAATTCGCATCCTAAAGCTTGATTGAAGAGTTAATCAACTGGTTGAAATTATACTTAGTTCAAAATCTCTTTCAATTGACTAACGTGTTCAAGGCTAATTATTTCGTCTCATATCCATCTATCTATCTTCTGAACCAATTTATTTTCTGTATTAGAATTTATAAATCTTGCCCACTTTAATGATTTATCCTGTTGGAATGGACTCCATGATTCAATTTCTTCCCCTCCTATAAGCTTAAAAACCTACACTGCCAATTACAAATCAATCTATTAGGAAATCACAATGCAATTTCTTACCTTTCCAATTTTCTTCCCTCCTTTCTTCTTCTTCATGTCCTTCTCCCCTTCAAATACATACATACATACATACATATATATATATATACATGCATCTCTACATGTGTGTTGTATGTCGAGTGGTTAGGGTGTCAATTTGGGCCCTTTCATCCAACCTATATGTAATATGGCTGACTGAATCTGCAAATGTTGGCAGACTATTTGGTGTACTATTTCTTATGTCTACTTTTTAATCTTATTTTTGGGTATACATGCATTTCTATGTGTGTTGTATGTCGTGTGGTTAGGGTGTCAATTTGGGCCCTTTCATCCAAACTATATGTAATATAACTAAACTGAATCTGCGAATGTTGGAAGACTATTTAGTGTACTTTTTTCTATGTCTACTTTTTAATCTTATTTTTTGGGTATACATGCATTTCTACGTGTGTTGTATGTCGTGTGGTTAGGGTGTCAATTTGTGGTATACATACATTTCTACGTGTGTGTTGTATGTCCAGTGGTTAGGGTGTCAATTTGGACAATTTCATCCAAACTATATAATTTTTCTTTTATTAATACATTTGTCTTTGGGCTTTCTAAAATTTCCTTTTATTAATACATTTGTCTTTGGGCTTTCTAAAACATATATTTTTGGCCAAGAAGTTGGATTCAATTTTTATTTTTTTTTTATGTTTAGTTAGATTTAAATTAAATTCACAATTAAATCTAATTAGTTAAACATATGTTAGCCGGCGGAGAAGTAGAAGCACATCACCATTAGTTAAATATATGTTAGCCGGCGGAGAAGTAGAAGCACATCACCTAAGATAATGCCGACCAATAAACTATTCCAAGGCCAAGGAATTGGTGGTGGCGTTTGACCAACACCTACATTGCAGGCTGTCAGGAGCCCCTTGAAATTGGTGTCTATTAGAGCCCCTTTAAATTGGTGTCTATTATTTTTTTTTTTTTATGGAAGGATATATATATAAATATATAAATATATTAAGTTTAAGACTTTATTGATAATAATGTATTTTTTTATGATATTTAAGAATTAAAGTATTGCATAAATAAATAAAAAAGTCAAATTTAAGGGCTGGATATGTAAATAAATAAGCACTATCTGAAATGTTTTTTATGAGTCAGTTCTAAGAATTTACTATCTTAGAACTACTGTAAATGCTGCGAGGTAAATAAGTTCCCTGCTACTCCTATATATGGGCTTATGTTCTTGAGAGAATAAATCAGGTATAACTCCACTAATTCCAGAATTTGATCTCTCTCTGTACTGCTCTGTTCTAAGAATGATGCTACTTGAAGTAGCACTTGCTCTGGGTTTTTTGGCCTTCTTCTTCTCTGCTGTGGTTTGTTGAGGTGGAATGAAGTGAAATATAGGAAGAAGGGTCTTCCTCCAGGAACAATGGGGTGGCCTCTGTTTGGGGAGACCACTGAGTTTCTCAAGCAAGGACCAGATTTCATGAAGAAACAGAGAGAAAGGTTGATTTGCTTCTCTGAACTCATTAGTTTGCTTTGCCATTGTACTTAAGTTCATGCATCTCTGCCTCTCTTTCTCTCTCTTTCTATTTTGTCTTTTATTTTAGCCTTTGAATGAGATACAGAGCTGGTTAAGGTGACAGGGTATGCATTTTACAAGGCAGTTTGTCTTGATTAAACAACTCATGCTTTGTCACTAAAAGCACTTGAAGCATTGTACATGTAATAAGTACAACAAGCCTTTTGCTTGCAGCTTTTTGTAGATTCTTATTAAATGGTTTTTCAACTTCAATTTACATTTTCTTTTATGAAAAAGTTCTTATAATGATATATTTTATCTGATGAAAAAATTCACAGGTATGGAAACTTGTTCAAATCACATATACTTGGATGTCCGACTGTAGTCTGCATGGATCTGGAGATCAACAGATACATCCTAATGAATGAAAGCAAAGGACTTGTACCTGGATACCCAAAATCTATGCTGGATATTTTAGGGGAATGTAACATTGCTGCTGTTACTGGTCCTCTTCACAAGTCTATGAGGAATGCCATGCTTGGTCTCATCAATCCTTCCATGCTGAGAGAACACCTTCTTCCTATAATTGATGAATTCATGAGGTCACATCTTAGTAATTGGAATGATAAAGTTATTGATATCCAGGAGAAAACAAAAGAGGTTGGTGAAGCCTTTAGCCTTTAAAATTTTCAGATTACTTTTTGATTGTTGCTTAAAGTTTCCTTTTGTCTCTGGTGAAAAAGGAAGTTGGAACTGCAAATGATATTTATGTTACTGAAAAATT